CACACGCACACACACACACACACACACACACACACACACACACACACACACACACACACACACACAGCCTTGCTGAATCACACTGCCAAAAAGACCAAGAATCCATAGGAGAGAATGTAAGCCCTGACATTCAGTCTAGCAGATTGTCGCAAAGAGCAGAGCAGAGCTGATTTGTTTAGAAGTGTTGTCACACTTTTTCCTCTTCCAAGGTTGCCACCAGCACGATGGTGGCATGCTATTGGGGGCAAGGAGGAAATGAGAGAACATCATGACTAAGTTTCCACATCAATAAGGCGTTCCCTTTCTTTCTACGCTCTCCTCGATATCCCTTCAAAAGCGGATTCCCCGTGCTCAGCAGATTCGCCACAATTCTGTCAGCACTGTCCCGGGTTCTTCCTTTAGTCGTTCTGTCTGCTGACACATGTTCCTAGGATAGGCTGCACAGGAGCTTCTGCCTTTATAGTGACAATTTTAGCTCTAGCTGCAGAAAATCGAATTTCATGAGTGCTTTTTTGTCTTTCCTGGTGAACACAGTCATAATAGCGACTAGATCTGCCATAAATCTGCAGTGTGACTGAACCCTGTGAAGCTAGTGACTTGAAGGGTATGGGTATTGAGCCAGAAGTAGGGAAAAATCAAACCAGAATCGGTCCAAAAGGTTTGCATGTCTCCCTTATGTTTCTTCCCCACCCCCTCTAAGGGGGAATGAGGAGGAGGCGGGGAGTCCACTTAAAGGAAAAACACGGCAGAGTTTGCTTTGTTCTTTAAAAATGCAGAGATATTTTTATATACATTTACAGGCCTCTCCCTATACACCTCATCCATTTTAAGGATCAGTGGCTGCCTGGAGCAGATGCTAAAAATGCTACCCCCATATTAATATCATGAAAGCCACATCTTCACATGAGCTTGCATTCATTTTGTCTTAATCATATTTCCTGATTTTATCAAGCCCACTGCCTAATTACTTTATTTCATCAAAGCTTATGTATCTATAACTAGATTTGGATGTCTTTTAACAGATTTAGAGTCAGAGACAGGCACTGTGAGGCACTGTGTTGGTGTGTAGAATATCGTGGTTTGGGAGAATAGGAATTTTTTTTAAAAAGCACGCAGCTCCTAAGAACTAGTAGCAAGAAGGACTTGGACAGAGATGGTCTAATTCTGAGAAATTTGGACAAGACTAATATAAAAACTTCAGGACTTAAACAGACAGACAGTGTTTGCTTGACATGAAGTGTGCTCTAAGCAATCTGGAAGCTGAGGCATCAAAATCCTAAGTTCTGAGAACAGCCTGAGCTACTTAGCAAAAGACTATTTTAAAAATAATCTGGATATCTGCTGGTGGGAGGTCTCAAAGTACCTAGATTATTTTTCTGATACAACTTTTAATCCTCCATGCGTGAAAAGTGGTTTTTGCTAAAATAAAATCTCTTTCAAGACTGAATGCAGATGGCTTTTTCTTAAGAAGCAGCCTTCCTGACTGACAAGTGATGTTAGAACCCAAGATGAAAAATGTCTGTGTTTTGCTAGCCTTCAACTTTAAAGGAAATCTGGGGTGAAAATTAAAACATGTCAATGGAAAACTTTGAAATCAGAAAAATAATCTTAATGAAATGGTAAAACACAAACAGCAAGCAGGATTATTTTCATAGAATGTAATGACTTCTATTGGTTTATCTGACTAAACATAACTTTGTTGCTTTTCTCCTTCTAAAACTGACAGAGAAGAAAATCGAGGTATTCCGACCTTGACTTCGAGGTAAGTCCCTATGAATTACTTTATAATTTTAATTACTTAACTCAAGACTGACTTATAACTGCTCAAATGCAATGCTGTATGTAGCTTTGTGGATGTAGCATTGCCATTGTGTAATCATTATTTAAGTAAGCCAAGGTTCTAAAATTAGGATCCTTTCTCATACATGGCTGGAAGTCAATGGTTTAGAGTTCTAATTACTCCTCTAAGAATATGCTCCACTGACATTTTCTAGACAAGTAAAGATCTATTTTACAATAGTTAGAAGTAGATAACTTAATGGGAAATAAGCCTGTCAATCCAGTCTATGGGGAGGTAGGAATGCCAATTTCCTGATTTTTGTTTTCTTTTTTTAACCTAAGCCATTTTGGTCCGATTTCACTTCAATGACCACCGTTAGAAATCCCAAGGGCATGCTTTGGCTAGTTAGCAAGGCTTGGTCTGGGACTGGCCTATATTGTGCTGTGATTTCTGTCCTAAGGTTCTCTGTGGTATGTTCAGACTCAGTTTTTCCAATAGCTAGTGTTGATTCCATGTATGTCTCTGTTTAGTAGATGTCTTTTTCACAGATATAAACAAGATGAAGATTTTCATTTTTCAGTTTTCATTGAGTTTATATTGATGCTATGATATTTGGTGCTGGAAGTCACTAAAATGATACTGTCTAAGCAGCTTATGCTCAGCACAAAATTAATGATGTTTAAGTATCACATAAATGCACTTATGCATCTTGATAATTGGATGTGATTCATAGCCTGCTGACATAATTGGGTATAATATATGATGAATTTCTCCAACGTATTTGTACCCTTGTGATGCATACATAGAACTCAATATTCTTCACTGATAAGGCCTCCTGGAATATGGAAACTGCTGATTCAATCTTTTCATTTGTGTAAGTGAATGTTGTGGTTCTACACTGTACAACGCCATCTCAGTGTGCGACTTGGTGATTTTATCTGTCACAATGGTGAAGGATAGTTTCACGCTGAAAAACTGTCCAAGGAAAATGATTTTATTTAGTAGTAACTCGGCATGTATACCACAAAAATAATGAAAATAATCAAGATTCAGTGCTTAAATCACAAATATCTAGGCAGCTCCATTGTGGTCACCTAGCATGAAATCTGTATTTTACTGAAATCAAAAGAATATCAAAAGAATAAAGAATCGAACTGTATCTGTTTGTATGTGTTACATACAGCATTACCTTTCTTGTGATTTCATAGAGCAGGTGTGTGTGTGTATGTGTGTGTAGTCTTAAAGGCAATAATCTGTTAAGTTACCAACAAAGAACAAACACACTAGACCTCACTGACAAAACATAGTAAAAATCTAGAACTAAAATTAAGCATCACTACAACCAACAAGTAATGTAATAGCAAAACCAAACATTGAGAAGAAATCCTAACACCCAAGAGGCAGATCTTTGTGAGTTCAAGGCCAGCCTGAACCACATAGCAATTTCCAGGCCAGCCAGAGTTATATGGTAAGAACAAAACTGGAAACAAAATAAATCACACTGTGTCAGTGAGAACCTTAAAAGTAAATTGTTCTTTTTTCCCATCTATTCTCTATGGCAACCAATAGCAGCTTCCCTAAGCAGATGCTATGCCTTGTATTCCACACAGAAAACCATAGTGTTAACAAAGATATAGTGGAGGAAAGTTGCAACATAGAACTGTGTAATTTCCTTACCTCTTTAGTTACTATAGTCATTGAATGATTACTGTAGGAGCTGAAGCTTGGGGGGAGGGCACAATCAAACATTAATTTTCTCTTATTGGCTATTCAGTGTTACTCCCTATTCAGCACATGTACAATTACAGGGATAAGACAGAGTCTGTATCAAAAAAAAAATTGTTTTAAAAATCTTCAGGATGCTAACACATATATGTGTAATTTTGAGTTGTGGATGAGGAGTAGGCTACCTCCCTGTCCCCTCTTTTAAATTCAGACTGGACTAATTGACCTTATGTCGAGGTCCCTGCTAGCCCTCTCCCTGAGTGGGCTTTACCATACAATGATTACCTTAGCTATTTTACCCTTGCCAGGCTGCCTTGTGGACTCCAGAAAGCATTGTCCTGACAAACTTTCGCCTTTGCACACTACCCAAGGCTCATATACAATTTTAATATTTTGTTAAATAATTTTCCTTAAAACATGAGGATTTCTGAAAAAAATTAAAACAGAACTACAGCATGACCCAGCTATACCACTCCTAGGCATACATCCAAAGCCCTCCATGTTCTGTGTTTACTGTCACACTGTTCCTATTAGCAAGGAAACGGAACCAGCCTCCATATCCATCAACACAAGAACAGATAATGGAAATGTGGTACATAGACACAAAAGAATTTTGTTAAGCCATAAGGAAAAATGAAATTTGGAATAAAATGGATGGATCTGGAAAACATTATGACTCAGGCTCAGAAAGTTTTTTTTTTTTAATCATATGTTGTCTTCTACAAGTCCATTGTAACTTTCAGTGTTTTTATGCATATAAATAAGTGGGTGTGAGGGTATAAACTATGAAACTAAATAGAGGACCATGACAGGGGAAGCAGAGGTGTTACAGGGAGACACATGGTACAGGAAGGCAGGGAGTACAAAGGGGGAAGGAGAATCAGAGTAAAATGAGGAAGGAAAGAAATGGCAAACACAAATTTTGATTGAAAACTGTCATACTGAGATCTAATTATTGTATGAAGACAAAAATTAATAACTTATAAAAATTGTTAGATACTATAGGTGGAGAAAAGTCCTTTCAAGCTGACACTGCATTCATGAACAAATAGCCCAAGAAGTAGACTAACTCTACTATAAAGTATAGAAAGACTAATTCTTACATGGTCCCCTGGAGAAGGGGAAAGGGTCAAGATATCCTGAGAAAATTGGGAGCATGGGGGGAGGGAAGAGAGAACTATGAGAATGAGAAGGGGAGAAGAGGAGGAGTGAGGAAGACATGATGGGACAGGGAGGTTGGCTTGGGGGAAGAACAGAAGAGAGCAAGATAACAGATAATATAATAGAGAGAGACATTATAACTTCAAAGAGAAATCAGGCACTAGGGAAATGTCTGGAGAGCTACAAAGATGACACCAACTAACAATCTAAGCAACAGAGGAGAGACTACCTTAAATGCCCTCTCCTAATAATGAGATTGATGACTAACTTATATGCCATCATATAGCCTTCATCCAGCAGCTGTTGTAAGTAGAAGCAGACACCCACAGCTAAACCTTGAACTGAACTGAAATCCAGATGCAGAGAAGGAGGACTGATGAGCAAAGGGGTCCATACCAGGCTAGTGAAACCCACAGAAACAGCTGAACTGAACAAGGGAAAACTCTTGGTCCCTCGACTGATAAGCTGAGAAACCAGCATGGGACTGATCCAGACCCCCTGAATGTGGATGTCAGTGAGGAGACCCTGGAAACTGTGGGGCCTCTTGTAGTGGATCAGTACTTATCACTACCATAGGAATGGACTTTAGGAGCCCGTCCCCCAGAAGGGATACTCCCTGAGCCTAGACACAAGGGGGTTGGCCTAGGCCCTATCCCAACGAATATGACAGACTTTGAAGACCCCCTATGGATGGCCTCACCCTCCCTGGGGCTCAGAAAGGGTATGGGATGGTTAAGGCATTGGTGGGGGGGGCAGGGGGAAGGGGAGGAAGAGGGACCTGGGATTGACATGTAAAATAATTTTCTTTCTAATAAAAAAAGGGAAAGGAAAAACAAAAACAAAAAAAAAGAAAGACTAATTCTTGCTCTCTGGAAAATATACAGAAAATAAGATAATGCTATTTCTATGTTGTGTGACAAAATGTCTTCCTTAGTCTGTATTCCAGCTTCTAGCAGAGATCCTGATATACACTGAACAATCATTACATTTCTTTGTGGAATGAATGAATGATTAAAAATTGAACGACTTATTTTCAATGGTGTTTGCTTTAACAAAAAGCCTTTGAACCATACTTGAGCTAAGGCAAAGACTAGTATAGAAAGCAAGCAAGTATGAAGGTAGCGCCTCAACAGTTTCCACTCTGCATTGCGCAGACGGGTTCATCAAACGTAACCCGAGGATGGAAAGGGCAGGTTGAAATTCCAGGGGGAGGAAAGGCACGTAGGTTCGGGTTTGCTAGAGCATGACATGTTCACAAAACAAGAGTCAGCATTCACATAAACATGGGTCAATGGAAAAGAAATAGACAGAATAACTTAAAATCTGCAGAAGTGTTTACCTAACGTGCTGCTAAAAACCCCTAAGCCTGTTTGACTGAGCTTCACTTTCTATTTGTTTACTAGTGAGGAGTGATTTGTTACTATCTGACCAATTAATTCAAAGGTGACTATGTTAGTACTATTCAGGACAGATTGATAGGTAAAACAAGAAGTTGGAATATCAGTTGAAGTGGCTAACCTGGGAAGGACCATGAGAGGTGAATCTGTGAAGTCTGGTCTGTACTTGAATGTGGGCTAGAAAGGCTAGAAGACTCTGTTATGGGCTTGCATTTTTCTATGTATGGGGAACAGAACCAAGGAAGAGAATGGATATCTAGTTAGGATGAGTTCCAGTGTAATGTTGGCATGAAGGTGCCTAATGCCATTCTAAGAATCAAGCAGCTAAAATTGTTTATATTGCTGGAGACAAAGCACTAGGAATTCCTGGAAACACAATTACAAATAACTACTATGAAACCATAACTCATAATAGTATCTTATATATATATTTTTATATATATTTTTATATTTATATATATATTATATATATATATTCACAGATAGACAGACAGACAGAGATTTTGTTTAATTGTCTCTTCGAAAAGCACAGACATACACTTTGTACCATTCTTCCATTGGAATCATGTATCCTTTAAAATAGCTCAGGATGTTTCTCTGAAGGTTCAGAGAAACCCCACATAGCCATCAATTCCTTGCTTCTCACTGAATTTCATCAATGGTCATGAGTCATGAGTGAGGGCAGACACAGATGTTGGA